GTGCCAAGTGTGGGAGGGCTCAGCCAGGCCCCAGCAGTCCTCAGAACCCACTCCTAGCCCCACACATAAGCACACACGAGTTTGTGAACACAGACCCCCCCCCAGACACAAAAATGACAGTTACAAAAACTCAGAATTACACCTCAAAACACAGCCATCCACCATCTCACACACACACACACACACACACACACACACACACACACACCAGGCATGCAAACACATGTACACAATCCAATGAACTCAAAATCACAAACATATAATCACACCCAAACCACAGACACCCATCACCTCTCTCTCTCTCTCTCTCTCTCTCTCTCTCTCTCTCTCTCCCTCCCTCCCCTCAGCCATGCAAACACAGACACACAGTCACATGAACTCACAAGCATACAACCACATATACACACACATTTCTTTTTTTAAAATATATTTTATTGATTTTTTTACAGAGAGGAAGGGAGAGGGATAGAGAGTTAGAAACATCGACAAGAGAGAAACATTGATCAGCTGCCTCCTGCACACCTCCTACTGGGGATGTGCCCGCAACCAAGGTACATGCCCTTGACCGGAATCGAACCTGGGACCCTTCAGTCCACAGGACGATGCTCTATCCACTGAGCCAAACCGGTTAAGGCTACACACACATTTCTAAACACACGGACATACAGTCACCCCCAAACTAGAACCAACTACTTTTCATAAAGCACCCACACACGTATGCAAACACTGACCCACAACTTGGCACACAATCCCACTGCCTCTCAAATGTACTCACACATAACCACCCTAAAGAGCACCTTCACCCACCATCACACACATGTACACACGCTACGATCTCATTCCGCCCATGCCTGACGGGTTACAGAAAGGGAAACTGAGGCACTGCGTGGCTGAAAGCCCCTTGAAGGAAGATGCCCCTCCTGACTCAAGGCAGAGGCTGCAGCTGGGCGCCCCCTGCCGGCCTGGGCCCTCCAAGAGCGCGCGGGGAGGCGGGCACGCGCCTGACGTAACCATGGCATCCTCTTGGCACGCGTGGCCGGGGCGGGGAGGGCGGGGCGGGCGCGTTGCCATGGCACCGGAGGGCCGCGTGAATGGGGTATTGTTCGCCCCGGCGCCCAGCGCCCTGGCCTGACTGTCCTGGACCCACCCGGACCCATCCGCCGCCATAGAGGAAGGGAGAGACAGAGATGGGGAGAGACAAAGATGGAGAGACACAGACAGAGCTGTAGATGGGGAAAGAAAGACACTTAGGAACCAAGGGGGAGAGACAGAGACAGAGAGAGACAAAGAGATGGAAGAGACCTGGGAGATGGAGAGAAATGCACCAATGAGGAAGGACCCACAGCGGGGCAGAGGGACAGAACCTATGAGAGGCAGGGCGGGGAACTGAGATGGAAGACGAAGGTCTGGGGTGGGAGCCAACCAATAACCACGGAGCCCACTGTGCCTTGCGCTACGCCTGGTAACAGGACTAGGCAGAGGACCAGGACTCCCAGACAAAGTCAGAGATACTGAGACGGGAGGAGACCCAGCAATAGAGACCCAGCAAGATGGAGGGTCAGAGACACCAGGACGAAAATGGAACCAGCGCTCCGGGGGTCCTTCCTCCACTCCCCTTTGGACAACGTGCCTCCTCCAATTGGACACTCTTGGAAGGCACCCCTCTGTCCGGCACACCTCACCCACCACTGACAAGACACCATCCACACAAGGACCTGGTCTTGGGGACACTGCCCCAGACACTCCGAGGCGCTCTCACGGACCCAGTGGCACAGCAGATACACCCACAGACGCCCAGGGACACAGTTAGGGTCCGTCAGACACACCCATACGACAGGGACTCCTACCCCACACCAGAGTGACAAAGCTAGAGGTACGGCCCATAGAAGCACTGTCTCATGCGGACTCTGCCAGACACCTGGTCCCAATCACACATGGCCACACAGCACACAGTCTCACATGCCACAGAACACTGCCATGTGTGGCTAACCAGGCACACGGTGCCCTCTCACACCCGCAATGTCCCTGCATTTGACCCAGAGACTTGGCCTCCTGGCCCCCAGCCCAGACTGGGGGGTCTGGAAGGATGCTGGGTCCGGTTCTCCATGTTTGACAGACATCGGTCACCAGTCCAGGCGGGAAGGGGAAGGAAGGGAGGTGAAGCCCCTCTCCTTCCCCTCAAAGGGTTGAGTCCAGCCAGGCCAGGGCAGTCCCCAACTCCTTCATGTCTGGGTCATCTGGGCCCAAATCTGAACCAAGGGTGTCCCCTGGTGGCCATGTGTGGTCTCTGCATCCATTGCGTGAGGGTGTGGGGGGATGGCAGACAGCCCAGTGGCCTAATGTTATAGAAGGGCAGAGAGACAGGCCCAGGCTCAGCACCCAGAGCCTAGAGACAGGAAGCCAAGGTCTGGAAGCCAGAACCCAAAACCAGAATTCAGAGCCTGGAATCCAGATCCCAGAATCCAGAATCTGAATCTAAATTCTCAGGTACCAAGAACTGGGGACCCAGAATCTAAAATCCAGGTCCAAATGCCCAGAATCCAAAATCCAAAGGTAGAGATCCTGTCCTCAGAATCTAGAATCCAAGAGCCCTGAATCCAGATACAACAACCGGAGCCTAGAGCCCTCCTTCGAGCCATCCCCTGCCTTCCCTGAGCCCCCAGATTAGAGCGGAGCAGCAGGGGTTGGTGAGGACAGGAACAGGTTACAGTGGCAGGAGAGAGGCCCTGCAGTGACCACACAGAGCCTCTGCCAGCTGCTGCCCTCACAAGCCACATGCACACGCATACTTCAACAGAATCTTACACACAGGCCACATGCCCAAACATATAGCCAGTCTGTGACCATCAGATGTACAGCACCACACACTCAGATGCACACACACAACATCACACATACACCCTGACACACACCATCACCTGAAGACACCTGAACCCACCATTCACTCCTCTCCCAGCACATGGACACACACTCATCTGTGTACCCACACGATCTCAGAGCTGCCCCCCATCGCCAGCCATCCCACCAAACTCAGACGCATAGCCACCACACCCAGAAATGCACAAAACCCAGACTCCCAATCCTACTCAGACATGCTCAAAGAATTGTGCAGGCTGGTGCGCATGTACACACACACACACACACACACACACACACACAACTCCCCTAAGCAGAGAGAAGCTCCATGCCTTGGCAGCCACACAGCCCCTGGGAACAGGACCCCCGGGACAGGGCTCACTGTGCACCCCCATGCCCACCCCATCCCCCGCCTCCTGGCCGGCTGGCGGGCTTTAATACAGATGCCAAACTCATAATTGTAACTGAGGGTGACAGGGTCACCTTGAGCCCCAGATGCTCGCGCGGTGACAGATGGCGTTGGCAAACCTGATTAGCAGCCCCTGTGCCAGCGCCTGTGGCACCTGCATCCCCGCCCCTCCCCCGCTCCCCCAGCACTCATTACCCACCCATTAATGGTCCTGGGGATGGGGGTGGGGGCCGTTTGGCACTGCCCAGGAGGGGGCAGGGATACTGGGGCCCCCCTGGCACCAAGGTTCCCAGCTGGCTCCCCGGCTGGCAGGAGGTGAGCACAGCTGAAAGGGGGTGGAAGCAGGCGCCTCATATGCCTGCCAGAGGGGTGTCCATGGTGCCAAGGCTGAGCTACCCACTCGGACGCTGCCTGAGGTTTGGCACAGAACCCTGGAGGGAGGCGGGAGAGCACACCCCTCCCCCATGGGCCACTCATGACCCTCCCCCATCTCGGGCCCTTGGAGCAGGGCCTTGGGAGCTGCCTGCCTGGCCTGTTCCCACCCCTCTGTGCTGGCCTGTGGGGTCAGAGGTCATGGGCTCCCACGCCCCACTGGCCCATCTGTTTCCTCGGGTCCCCTCCTCCTGCTCCCCTCACCTGGGGCCTTCCTTCCTGAGGCAGGAAGAGGGCTGAGGGGGGCCCCGGTTGACCCCCCCACCGCCCTGCGCTCCGGGGAGCATTTGGAGGCAACCCTGACAGCACCACATGTCCCTGCGTCTGTGCCAGACGGGCCCATCTGCTAGGGCCCTGGTTCCAGACGCCCAAAGCCCGGCCGCCCTCATCCGCTGCAGACCCTGTGCCCAACTGAGGAGGGAGCACCCCTCATGCCCACATTCCACAGGGCCACCCACTTCCAGGGAACTCCGGTTGGAGGAACAAATACACACATATACACACACTGGGCTCCATCAACCTTTATGGTCCTGTAGATGCCACACTGAGCGTGGGGCTGGTGGAGATTGGGAGGGGCAGCTGGAGCTTGTGGGTTCTGCCTCTGACTTGGGGAACCCAGGTGTCCCCCCGTAGCTACCTCTGCTTTCCTGCCAGGGTTTCTTGGGGTCCCTAGGACAGGGTCATCACTGTGTCTCCTGGGTGGGGTCATCCGTTCTCCCTGCATTTGGGGGTGTGTCTTTGACTTATTCTGTGAGAGGAGGTCCAGTCTGGGGTTCAAATGCTGGCTCTGCCATGTCATGTTGTGTGACCCTGAGCAAGTGCCTTTGCCTCTTGGGGCCTCAGTTTCCTTCCCTGTAAAATGGGGTGATGCCTCTATGCTATTGGGCAGCTCTGAGGGTGACTCAAGTAAGTACCTGGCAAATGCTTAGAGCTGGGCCTGGCCGACAGTGAGTGCTCAGTAGCGTGTGCTGTGACTGTGAGTGGTCCGCCGCTACGGGGCTGTCTGGCATTCACGGGAGAAGGGTGAGGACTCGGGAGGACCATCTGGCTTCCCCTGCATCCCTGGTCTCTGACCCGTGGACATTCTCCAGGTCAGTGTCCTTCCGACTCCCACATCTCTCCGAGGTGCGTGCGTCTGTGTCAGTCCGTGATGCTCAGCTCAGGCCTTCAGGCTACACTGACACCTCTCGACCAGCACTGTGTATGTCTTCACCCGCCGACGAGAGGCTGGGCTGCCCACCCGGCACCACAGGAACACGGGTGTCCAGTGCCTTCGAGCGGGCACACAGCTGTTGCAGAGGACGAACGGGGCGAGGTCCACACCAGGGACGTAGAGCGAGGAGCAGTGGCCAAAGCAGAGGTGATTACGGAGGCGCTTAGCCATGCATCCCGGCTGGGAGAGCACCTGGGGCCAGAGACAGGGAGACAGGAGGCCAGAGTAATGAGAATAACCCCCAGTCCACTTCCACCCCACCTTGAGAGGCATGTGCCTGGGCTCAAATCCTGACTCTGCCATTGCTGTGTGACTTGAGGTAAGTTACTCAACCTCTCTGGGCCTCAGCTTCTTCACCTATGAAATCATCCAAGTTCAACCAGGAAAAAAAGAAACTACTCTAGGCCCGTGGTCGGCAAACTGCGGCTCGCGAGCCACATGCGGCTCTTTGGCCCCTTGAGTGTGGCTCTTCCTAAGCCTTAGGAGTACCCTAATTTAAGTTAATAACAATGTACCTCCCTATATAGTTTAAGTTTAAAAAATTTGGCTCTCAAAAGAAATTTCAATCGTTGTACTGTTGATAGTTGGCTCTGTTGACTAATGAGTTTGCCGACCACTGCTTTAGCCTATAACCTGGCACACAGTTCAATAAATGTTAGTTCCTCCTCTGATCCCCTCCAACTAAGTGGATCTATCAATTCACCCCCTGTTCATGGCCCTTCTCTGTTTAAACCCTGCACTCCTGCCTCTGTCCCTCTCCCCACAACTTCATCTCCCCACCTTCCCCCTCTGCCCCAGTGACCCCACCCTCTTGCTTGGAGTTACAAAGGAATCAGCAGTTAAGGCAGAACTTGGTACACCTGGCTTCAGAGCCTGGGCCATAAACAACACAGGGCATGAATGCCTACAGCCATTATGGAGCACCAACTGAATGCACGGTGAGTGCTGCCCACACCCCTCTCATTCAGGCTGCCCCAAAGTGCTCAGCAGGCAGGTACGACTATTGTTCATCATTTAACAAGCACTGAGCTACTGCTGTGTGCCTGGCTCTGCTCTAGAGCTTAGGGATGGGAATACAGAGTGAATAAGGCATAAAAATTCCTGCCCTGGTGGAACAGACATTCTACTGAGGAAGACAGATAATAAATGCAATTACAAAACCAATTTCACTTTTTAGGGGATGATGTGTACTACAGCGAGAAATAAAGCGGAAAAGAGGAAAGTGGGGTGGGAGGTACTGCATTTTTAAAAAATATTTTTTTTATTGATTTCAGAGAGAAAGGGAGAGATAGAAACATCAATGATGAGAGAGAATCATTGATTGGCTGCCTCCTGCACCCCCTACCGGGGATCAAGCCCGCAACCAGGCATGTTCCCTGCCTGGGAATCGAACCGTGACTTCCTGGTTCATAGGTTGATGCTCAACCACTACGCCACACCAGCCTGGCTGCTGCATTTTTAAATGTTTGAGTAAAAACCTGAAGGAGGTGAAAGAAGGAGCCACAGAATGTCAGGATGGGGGGAGGTGCTAGAGGCAAAGGAACAGCCAGTGGTATATATTGTTGGTGAGTCCGTGGAAAAGGAGGCAGGTGTGGCAGGAATAAAGTGGGCAGGGGGGAATGGGAGGAGGTGAGAGCAGAGAGAGGACAGGCAAACGGAGCAGGGCCTTGGGGGCTGTGGGGAAATTTTGGGCTTTTGCTCTGGGTGAGGTGGGAGCCATAGAAGGTTCTGAGTGTAGAAGGGACATAATCTGACTCAGAAGCTCACAGGTGCCTCTGCCATTAAATGGAAAAATAGACTTGGGGGACAGGGTGGTGATTCCAGAAGCTGGCAGAGGGGCAACCCCCATTTCATAAGGGAGGGAACTGACGATCAGAGACAGGTAAAGGGTACAGAGCTCGATTCCAAATCTGGCACCACAGTCATGTTGTCAACGCTGAGACTCAGCCCTCTCCTTCTCCCACCACATACTCACCTGAGTGAAGGGCACAGCCTTACACGTATCCTGGGCTACTTCCTGTGGGTCCAGTGGGGGTGGTGGCCGCCTCCTGCTCATGCTGCAGCCCACCTATCCCCATACGCCTGGTTTTCTGCAGGTCCAAGAAGGCCTTCCAGCTGCTGAGGGCAGAAGATGGCACTGGGGAGGCCTGGGCCCCTTGGCCCAGAGATCGGGTCTGATTTGTGGCAGCCCCGGGCTGGGGTGGGGAACCCTGGGGTCCAGGCCTCCCCAAGCCTGTGGGTAGGCAGGCTCCACTGAGCAGGCTCAGAACTGTGGTCAGCTGGCTGAGGAGCATCTGTCTGTCTGTCTGGGACTGGGCTCAGGGTCCTGGGCAGTTGACCCTGCTGTCTGGCGAGTGAAGTCTGTACCCACCAGACCCACTTTTAATGGCCCGCCCCCCACCTGGGCAGCCTGGGAGGTGCCTCTGCAAACTCCAGAGTAAACCCAGACCTGCTAGGTTCCCACCCCTCCCCCCAGCATGGCAGGGGACGTGGGGGCTGGGACTGCTGGCATGTGGGCTGGGGAAGGAGGAAAGGCAAGTCTAACGGGGCTTGGGGCACAATGCCAGAGTTCCTGAGGGCTCTGGACCTGGTTTCAGGCCCCATTCATCCATTTAGCAAAACCAGACTTTGCAGTTAAGCTACTCAGGTTTCAATCACCGCATTGCAACTTCCTAGCTGTGCAACCTTGGCCAAGTCCCTTAACCACTCTGGGCCTCAGCTTCCTCCTCTGAAGTATGGAGACAATAACCACCCCTACCTGGTAGGGCTGTTCTGAGGACTGAAGGAGATAATTTATGTAAGGAGTTTAAACTAGAAGCTGCTACACAGTACCACCATGAGTAAGCTATGATTAACATTATTGCTGTTGGTTTTCCTTTAGCACCTGTTAGAGGCCACGCATAATTCTGAGCCCTGGGGATACAGGTGGACAAAACAGAAATGGGTCCTCCCTGCCTTACGTTGTAATGCAGAAAACAGACAATACAAGATAAATAAGATTATTTCAGAGTCTTAAATATTAAGAAGATATTAAAAAGGGATGTGCCTTGCCCAGCCGGTGTTGCTCAGTGGTTGAGCATGGACCTACAAACTAGGAGGTCAAGGTTCAATTCCCGGTCAGGGCACATGCCCAGAGGCAGCCTATCCATGATTTTCTCTCATCATTGATGTTTCTGTCTCTCCCTCTCCCTTCCTCTCTCTCAAACTATATATATATAATGTTTTTAAATTAAAAGGACTGTCCCTTGAAGGGAGAGGGGCTTCTGCCCCCAGGGTGGTCAGGGAAGGCCTTCTTGAAGAGGTGACATTTTTGCAGAGCCCTGAGATAGTGTCACAGGCAGAGCAAACAGCCTGGTGGGGAGTGGAAGCTGGAGTACTTGAAGCACAGAGGAATGGGAGTCCCAGGCTTTGGGGGCCCGAGAGCTCCGGGAGGTCCCGGCCGGCCCTGGCACCTCTGCGGCCCCCATCTCGCACCCAGGTGAGGCTCTGCAGGCTGCGGGGCCGTGGGAAGCAGCAGGGCGGGTCCTTCCCGCGACCCAAGGTGTGCGCAGGAGATGCGGCCGGCTCGCCCTCTGGCGGCAGCTATTGGGACTGCGGGCCCGGCTCTTGGGACTTGCCTCCCTCTACATCCGAGCTCCGGAGAGTTCCCCAACCAATCCCACTGCTGTCCTCTAGACCAGCGGCCGCCAACCTTTCGGACCTCACGGACCACCAGTGGTCGGCGGACCACCGGTTGGCGACCGCTGCGTCTAGACCCAACTCCATCCTGCTAGGACCTAAGGCCCCAAACTTTGGAGCATCCTTGACCCCTTACTTCCTCTGACCCCACCCCTCCCTAATATGATATGACAGCAAGTCCTGTCCGCTTCAAAATCTACCCAGAATCCACCCACTTCTCACTCCCTCCTCGGTCCCCCACCTGGACACGGCCCCTATTATCTCTCACCTGGCCCAGTAGGTCCCTTCACCCTGGTCCCCCAGGTCCCACCCCCAAAGCCTGTACCCCCACCACAGCTGCCAGAGGGTGCCCTAAGTCCAGGCACGTCCCTCTTCTGCTCAGGACCCCCCAGGGCTCCCCACCTCACCCGGAGTAACGGCCAAAGTTCTCACGCAGCCCACCAGGGCTCGCACTGTCTGCTCTCATAACCTCCCCACTCTCGTCTCTCCCCCTCAATCCACACGGGCCTCCTCGCTGTTCCCCTGACCCACCAGGCATAAATATTGCACATCTGTACAGGGCTGTGCACGCTCTTATAGTTTCAACATGGAAAGATCCCCGCAAAAAATGAAGTTAAAAATGTTTCAGAACAGGGTATATGTTGTGCCCTGACCTTTTGGGGGAGAGTGATAAGACTTTACAGCTACAGTTTACTTGTATTTGAATACTGAAAAAAAGCAGCAGGATTTCCCTGCTGGAGAAGGACATGAAAATGAGTGGATAAGAAGAGGGGTTGAGGAGGGAAACGTCACTTTAGAGTTTAAATATTGTTTTAACCATTAAAAGAAACTTTGGCGTGCAGGAGGCAACCAATCGATGTGTTTCTCTCACATCAAGGTTTCTCTCTGTCTTTCCCTCTCTTCTACTCTCCCTAAAAATCAATGGAAGAATATCCTCGGGTGAGGATTAACAACAAAAAAGAAACAAAAAGAAACTCTGAAAAAGGGAAAGCCCAGCCAGTGTGGCTCAGTGGTTGAGCATGGACCTATGAACCAGAAGGGATCCCAGGTTAGGGGTTCCCGCTGGGTTGATCCCTGGTAGGGGGCATGCAGGAGTCAACTGATCAATGAATCTCTCATCACTGATGTTTCTCTCTCTCCCCCCATTCCTCTCTGAAATATATATATATAACATATATATATATACACACACACACACACACACGTATATAAAATCTTAAAAAAGAAAGAAAAATGCCCTAGCCGGTTGCTCAGTGGTTAGAGCGTTGGCCCATCCACCAAAGGGTCTTGAGTTCGATTCCCAGTCAAGGATATGGGTCACATCGATGTTTCTCTGTTCTTGCTCTCTGTGTTCCCTCCCTCCCTCCCTCTTCCATTGTCTCTAAAAAGCAACGGAAAAAATATCCTCCAGTGAGGGTTAACAAAAAAAAAGGGTGGGCAGGGGCGAAAAGGACAAATGAAAGCAATTCATGCCTTTATTCTGCCCCTTGCTCTTTTTAAAAAATTGTTATTAATTTTTTTGTTATTGATTTTAGAGAGGGAGGGGGGGGGGAAACCATAAATTTGTTGTTCCACTTATTTATGCACTCATTAGTTGCTTCTTATATATGTCCTAACCGAATATCGAACCCGCAACCCTGACATATGGGAGGACACGCTAACCAACTGAACAACCTGGCAGAGCTGCCTCTTGCTCTTTAAGTGAAGTATTGTGGGCATTCAAATAAGTATAGACAAAAATAAAACAAACAGCCCTGGCCCGTACGGCTCAGTTATTTGGAGTGTCTCCCGGTGCATGGAAGGGTCCATTCCTGGTCAGGGCACAGGCCTAGATTTCGTGTTTGATCCCCAATTGGGGCACATATGGGAGGTAACTGATCGATGTTTCTCTCTCACATCAATGTTTCTCTCTCTCTCTTTTCCTCCCTCTTTCTAGAATCAATGAAAAACATATCCTAAGGAAGGACTTTTATATACATAAAATAACAAAACCCACTGTAATCATTACCACAATTAAAAAATAAAGTCCAGCCCAGCGGTGTGGCTCAGTGCTTGAGCATCCAACTATGAACCAGGAGGTCGAGGGTTCTATTCCCAGTCAGGGCACATGCCCAGGTTGCAGGCTCAATCCCAGCTAGGGGGCATGCAGGAGGCAGCCAATTGATGATTCTCTCTCATCATTGATGTTTCTATCTCTCCCACTCCCTTCCTTTCTGAAATCAACAAAAATATATTTTTTTAAAAAAGAAAGAAAAGCCCTGACTGGTTTGACTCAGTGGATAGAGCGTCGGCCTGCGGACTGAAAGGTCCCAGGTTCGATTCCGGTCAAGGGCATGTACCTTGGTTTCGGGCACATCCCCAGTAGGAGGTGTGCAGGAGGCAGCTGATCGATGTTTGTCTCTCATCGATGTTTCTAACTCTCTATCCCTCTCCCTTCCTCTGTAAAAAATCAATAAAATATATTTTTTTTAAAAAGAAAGAAAAGATTACAGATATGAGCCCTGGCCAGTGTGGTTCGGTTAGTTGAGTGTCGTCCCCTGCATTGAAAGATCGCTGGTTTGATTCCAGGTCAGGGCACATATACAAGTTTTGGGTTCGATCCCTGGTCGAGGAGCATAGAGAGGCATGCTCACATCAGTGTTTTTCTCACATCAATGTTTCTCTCTCTCTCTCCCCCTCTCCCTTCCTCTCTTGCTGGAAGAAAAAATCAATAAAAACATACTAATAAAATAAAAGATTACAGATATGAAAGAAACTTGCTCTATACTTATGCCTAATTCCTGTAATCCCCATGGTTGTATTCATAGTTTTACTACACATATATCCATTCACAAAAGATACATAAAATTGTTTTGTGTGTTTTAAACTTAATATGCATGACATCATAATATATAGATTCTTTTAACTTTCACCAGTACTCCATTTCGTATTCCACCCTTTTCACTGATAAAGAATATTCTACTGCATATACATATCCGAAATTTATTTCTCCATTATCCAAATTTTAACCATCACATTCCTGCAAACAACATTTTGAAACATGACTCTTTTTCACCTGGCTTTTCACACTTACTCCCTATCAGTGGTTCACATTCCTGGCTGCACATTCAAGTCACTTTTAAGTGGGAAATTGTTGTCCAGACCCTGCTCTGGATCAATCATGCTGGAATCTTTGGGGATGGACCCCATACACTAATGTTTTTAAAAAGCACCCCAGGGCTGCTTTGAACCCCTGGACTATATCGTTATATACAGCAATAGGTCTCAGGTTTGAGCCTGCATCAGTGTCAGCTGGAGGGCTCCCACACAGAGGGCCCCACCCATAGAGTACCTGATTCGGTGTTGGAGCCTGAGAACTTGCATTTCTAACAAATTCCCAGGTGATGTCGATGCTACTGGCCAGGGAACCACACTTTAAGAACCAGGACGTAAAGAGTGCCCTTATTCTTTTTTAACATCTGCATAGTATTCCATCCTATGATATTCAGTCATTTCTTTAACAAGTCCTCTATTCTCGGATATTTAGGTTCTTTTCCATCTTTGGATACAAGAAAAACAATTCCCTACAATGGAAAATCATTCAGCTATAAAAACCAATGAAGTACTGTATTAATTTGCTAGGGCTGCCATAATAAAGTACCTAGGGGGCTTTACCAACATAAATTGATTGTCTCATGGCTCTGGAGGCTAGAAGTGCAAGATCAAGGTGTCAGCAAGGTTGGTTTCTTCTGAGGCCTCTCTCCTTGGCTTGTAGATGGTCATCTTCGCTCTGTATCTTTGCACCCTAATGACCTCATTTTAATTAAATTACTTCTTTAAAGACCCTATTTCTAAATAAGGTCATACAATGAGGTTAACACTGAGGGTTAGCACCTTAACACATAAATTCTGAGGGGATACAACTCAGTTCATAACAAGTACTGATATATGTTAGTTACCATATGGATGAACCTCAAAAACATGCTAAGTAAAAGAATCTAGACACAAATAGTCACATATTGTGTGACTCCATTTATATGAAACTTCCAAAATAGGCAATTCCATAGAAATGGAAAGTAGATTAGTGGTTGCCAAGGACTAAAGGGAGGGGAGAACTGGAGTGACTGCTAATGGGTATGGAGTTTCCTTTTTGGGTGATGAAAATGTTCCAGAATTAGATAGAAGTGGTGGTGGCACAACATTGTGAATGTACTAAATGGCACTGAAGTTTTCACTTTAAAATGATTAAATTTTAAATATATTTTTATTGATTTCAGAGAGGAAGGGGGGGAGAGAGAGAGAGAGAGAGAGAGAGAGAGAGAGAGAGAGAAATATCAATGATGAGAATGATTGATCGGCTGCCTTCTGCACGATTCTCATCATTGATGTTACTCTCTCTCTCGCCCCCAACAGGCATGTGCCCTGACTGTGAATCGAACTGTGACCTCTTGATTCATGAGTTGATGCTCAACCACTGAGCAACATTGGCCAGGCTAAAATGATTAATTTTATGTTGTGTGAAGTTTACCTCTATTTAAGGGTTGCCCTCAGAAGCCCCTCTCCCATGACCATTTGGTACTGACTATGTGCCCAGTGCTGGCCAGCAGCTGAAACTCACTCCAGGCTGTTTTGACCTCAGAGTGCCTTCTCTTAATCTCTAGGCTGATGTTTCTCAACATGATTCCAAATTTCCTGACCTGGGAGGAATCTGCAGTTCAGAAGTGCCACGCCTGACTGTCCATCGGCCCCATTCCAGGCACTTTCTTCCTTTTTCACCTCCACTATAATTAGTGTGTATCTCACCCAAAGTCTGTGAGCTGTTTGAGGTGAGGGACCATCTCTACCTCATTTCCTGCATCTTCCAAGATCCAAAAATTACAGGACGTGATCACCCAGTGAAACCTGAATGACAAGAAAAAGCCCATCAGTAAAGATCCTGGGAGAAAATTCTAGGCCTGGTAATAGCAAAGGTAATTAATGCACAGTCTCAGGGACCACATGGTGACATGCCCCTTCTATTTCCTAATGGGTCTTCCTGTTCCTACATGTTGACCCACTCAATGTCTTTTCAGTTTAGCGACCAGAGGAGAATCACAAATCACATCCATCACTCCTCTTCTCAAAGCCCTCCCATGGCTCCCCATTGTCCTTAGAATAAAAGTAGAAACCCTCATCATGTCCTCTAATGCCTGCATGGCTGGCCCCTGCCTGATGCACTTACCTGTCCTCCACCCTCAATTTGCTTCATTCACTGGACCTCAACCACAGATCTCAACCACATCTGTCCCTCAGGAAACCCTGGGGAAAGACTTAGATTTGTTGAGAACTCTAGGAAAACTTCCCCATGATACAAGCTCACTGCAGCATCATTTCTGCAATCAAAACAAACAATTTGGAAACAAATGTCCATCAGAACATCCTGATGGAATGAATAATTATAGTTTATTCATACCACAGACAATATCAAGCAGAGTTTGTTGTTGTTTTTCAAACTTTTTCCCCCCCACCACTAAGCACAGTAAGAAATACATTTTATTTACAGGTCTTGACAAAGAGACCTTGACAATCCTTTGATTGACATGGTCTTTGACCCCCTCCCCTTGAACTGAGACAACCTTTGTGACTGGCTTGACCAATAGAATACAGTACAACAAAAATGATGTCATGTGACTTCCAAAATGCCTGCTTTTCAGCCTTGTTCATTTGGGACCCAGCTGCCATGTTGTGAGGAAGCTCAAACTGGCCCATATGAAGAGACCGCTGTATAGATATTCCAGCTCACAGCCCAGCTGAGGCTCCAGCCAGCATCAATCATGAGACATGAATGAACGAAGATTCCTTCTGATGATTCTGGAGGACTGGCATCTAGACACTCAACTTTGAATTCTTCCCAGCTGGGGCTACAGACAGCAAGGAGCAGAGATAAACCATCCCCACTGTGCCCTGCCTAAATTCCTGATCCACATAATTCATGAGCATACTAAAAACGGTTATTTAGGGAAGGTTAGCATGTAATTGCAACTACAATACTAATATATACATCCATGTATATATGACAGAAATAAAAGTTTTACCAAACAATACTTACCCTTACTACATGTGATACAATCTGATATTTTTATTCCATTTTTCCATTAAATAATCACTGTACACCCATGTTCATAGCAGCATTATTCATAATCGATAAAAGAAAGTAGAAGCAGCTCATATGTACATCAGTGAATGAATGGATAAACAAAATGTAGTAAATATATATAATATTATTCAGCCTTAAAAAGAAAGGACATTCTGAAACATACTATAATGTGGATAAACTTGAGGACATTATGCTAAGTGAAATAAGCCAGTCATAGATGAACAAATATTGTATGATTCCACTTATATGAGGTCCTTAGAGGAGTTAAATTCATAGAGACCGAAGTAGAATAGTGGGTGTCAGGGGCTAAGGAAAGGGAGAATGGGGAGTTAGTGTTTAATGGGGTTGGAGTTTCTGTTTTGTAAGATGGCAAAGTCCTGGTGGGAATGCAGACTGGTGCAGCCACTGTGGAAAACAGTATGGAGTTTCCTCAAAAAACTAAAAATGGAACTCCCATTTGACCCAGTAATCCCACTTCTAGGAATATACCCCAAGAAATCAGAAACACCAATCAGAAAGGATATATGCACCCCTTTGTCCATAGCAGCACAATTTACAATAGCTAAGATTTGGAAACAGCCTAAGTGCCCATCAGCAGATGAGTGGATTAGAAAACTGTGGTACATCTACACAATGGAATACTACGCTGCTGTAAAAAAGAAGGAACTCTTACCATTTGCAACAGAATGGATGGACCTGGAGAGCATTATGCTAAGCGAAATAAGCCAGTCGGAGAAAGATAAATATCACATAATCTCATTCATTTGTAGAATATAATGAACAACATAAACTGATAAACAAAAACAGATCCAGAGACACAGAAGCATTGAACAGACCATCAAACCTCAGAAGGAAAGTGGGGGTGGGGGCAGGGGGGGGCTGGCGGGGGGGCAGGATAAGAGATCAACTTGTATGCTTGCATACAAGCATAACCAATGGACACAGATAGTAGGGGGGTGAGAGCATGTGCTGGGAGGTGGGAGTGGCCGGGGAGAGGTCAATGGAGACATACTAGTATGTAATACTTTAAACAATAAAGAATTTAAATTAAAAAAAAAAAGATGACAAAGTCCTGGAGATGGATAGTGGTGGTGATTACACAATGATGTGAATGTGCTTAATGCCACTGAGTAATATGCTTAAAAGTGGTTACAGTGGTAAGTTTTATGTGTATTTTGTCACAATTAAATTTTTTTAATTAAAAATGTTTATAAATTATTCTTCCCTTAATTTTAAACTTAGAAATAAATAAGTGCTGGTTGTAACCTGCCTCGTTGATTTCCTGAATCAATAGTGGGCCCCATGACTCACAATGTGAAAAACACAGCTACATAACATGTACAATAAACCTACAGGGATCCACATGGAAACATCTGGAAAGTATAAGAGAGAAAAGTTGCAAATTAATACCTTCAGGATACCATTTATGTGCACTGTTTAAAAATATAGATTGTACATTGTTTCCACAGACTCCAGATGAGTAGTGAATGCATAAAGGCTGGTCCTGGAAGAGTAAACTAATTTCAAAATAATTGTTAATCCTTAAAAGGGCGGCGAGGGAAATGGGTGGCATTTGTAGATGGAGGTATTACTGTCATTGGAGGCTTTCATAGGAGGGGTCAAGTTTTATAAAAAAGAATTTTTTTAAAAAATGGTCTAAAGTAATCAAGTCAAAGTGTAAATACAGGGTAGGATGAAAGTAGGTTTACAGTTGTGAATACACAAAAGAGAGTTTTTTCTTGTATTATTATTAATCAATTAATTTATTTTTCCATTGCTTTTCAGAGAGAATGGAAGACAGGGAGGGAGGAAGACAGAGAAAAACAGAGAGACAGAGACCAATGTGAGACACATCAACCCATCCTGACCAAGGGCAGGGAGCCAACCACAACCCAGGTACCTGCCTTTGACCAGGAATTGAACCCGCAAACCCTTTGGTGTGCGGGCGGACGCTCTAACCACTGAGAACACTGGCCAGGGCTCTTGCATTATTATTTATTAACTAGAGGCCCGATGCACAAAATTCGTGGAGTAGGGCTTCCTTCCCCCGGCTGCCAGCACCAGCTTCCCTCTGGCACCCAGGGCCCGGGCTTCCCTCGCAGCCCCAGCTTTGTCCGGAAGGAGGTCCGGTCTAATTAGCATATTATGCTTTTATTATTATAGATTCTTGTATTGTTCTCCATACAAACAACTGTAAATCTACTTCTGTATTTTGTACCACCCTGTATTTATTAAACCTGAGATAATGACATGTCACTGTACTTTTCTGTTCTTATGAAATAATTAACACTGTAAATAATGTATACAACAACTCTCTAGGATACATAAGAAACTAAAACAAGTTGAGGAGTGCTCAGATGGGGAAGGGGAAGATGGGGAGCAGGTAGGAGTAAGACTACTTGCTGTAATCCTTTTTGTTGCTTGCATTTTCATTTTTAAATTGTGAAATATAATAAGTCTACAGGGAAGTGGGAAACCGACACATATAGTTATTTACAGCTTAAAGAATAATTATAACTCAGGTATCACTGTAGCCCAGATCAAGAAATAATATGGAATATAGTCCACAGAGAAAAGCAAACAGAATAGGTTGCCCAACTCAATGACCTGTTTCAAATCAACCCCCTCCATGTGACCACCACCTAGATGCCCCCTCATCCCCACCACAGGTGTCTGATCCTGACTTCTAGAATGAAAAGGAATTTAGTCCTGCCTCCTTTGTTGCATATGAGGTCTATGAGACAGCTACATTGCTGTGAGCAGTTGTAATTTCTGCTCTTGCATTCCTGTATAGTATTCTGTTGGCTGAAACATTTTTAGGTATCCCTTCTACTGGGGGTGAGCCCTAACCAGTTTGGCTCAGTGGATAGAGCGTCAGCCTGCGGAGTCAAGGGTCCCAGGTTCGATTCCGGTCAAGGGTATGTACCTTGGTTGCGGGCACATACCCAGTAGGGAGTGTGCAGGAGGCAGCTGATCGATGTTTCTCTCTCATTGATGTTTCTAACTCTCTATCCCTCTCCCTTTCTCTCTGTAAAAAATCAATAAAATATATTTTTTTAAAATGGGGGTGAAATGACTGAGAATCCATAGGATGGAATCCAGCTTGGGATATATACAGTATTGCTGTGACCTACAAATATTCTTGTCCAGGCTTCCTGGCTCACTGAGCAAACTGCAATTCTTCCTTCCTTTCTTTTCTTCCTTTTGGTAATAAAATATATATAACATATATTTACCATTTTAACCATCTTTAAGTGGCATTAAGCACATTCATTCACAATGTTTTGCAACCATCACCATTATCCATCTCTAGAACTTTGTCATCTCCCCAAACTAAACTCTGTCCCTATTAAACACTAACTCCCCATCCTCCTCCCCAGCCCCTGGCATCCATGATAACTCTAACTCCTCTAGGGACCTCCTATGAATGGAATAATACAACACATGTCCTTTTGTGACTGGCTTATTTCACTTAGCACAAGGTCTTCCAGGTTCATCCATATTGTAGCATGTCAAAATTTCCTTCCTTTTAAAGGCTGAAATCCTCTTTCAAAAATAGTGATTGGGTCCAATCAATATGGCTCAGTAGTTGAGCATCAACCTATGAACCAGGAGGTCAGGTTTGATTCCTGGTCAGGGCACAGGCCCGGGTTACAGCCTCAATCCCCAGTAGGGGTGGGCAGGAGGCAGCCAATCAATGATTCTCTCTCATCACTGATGTTTCTATCTCTCTCTCCCTCTCCCTTCCTCTCTGAAATCAATAAAAAATATATATTTTTTAAATGAACCTTTACCATGGACATAGACAATAGGGTGGTGAAGTCCTGGGGTGGAGGCAGGCTGGAGGGGGCCAATGGGGGTAAAAAGGGACATATGTAATACTTTCAACAATAAAGATTTTTTAAAAATAAAGCGAGCCTAGCCCTAACTGGTTTGGCTCAGTGGATAGAGCATCAGCCTGCGAACTGAAGGGGCCCAGGTTCGATTCCAGTCAAGGGCATGTACCTTGGTTGTGGGCACATCCCCAGTAGGGGGTGTGCAGGAGGCAGCTGATTGATGTTTCTCTCTATCCCTCTCCCTTCCTCTCTATAAAAAAATCAATAAAATATATTTTTAAAAATAAAAATAAAACGAGCCAATAAATAAATAGAAACAAACAAACAAACCATGGTGCTGGAAGAGGTCACCCGTCTTCCAGATTCCTTGGTTCCCTGGGCTGTTCCTTGGGATTCACTGAATGCACAGCACTGGGGAGTGCACAGACCACTTCACATCAGTCTTAATTGCTATTACCAAAATGTCTCCAGCCCAATTGGTGTTGCTCAGTGTTTGAGCCTTGACCTATGAACCAGGAGGTCACCATTGGATTCCCAGTCAGGGCACATGCCCAGGTTGCAGCTCCATCTCCAGTGTGTGGGGAGGAGGAAGGGGGGGGGGGGGCTGGAAGAGGCAGCCAATCAATCAATGATTCTCTCATCATTGATGTCTCTCTCTCTCTCTCTCTATCTCTCTATCCTTCCTCTCTGAAATAAAAACACTTTAAAATATTACACAAATAGTAATAAAAATTACTTCTGTGGAAAAAATTTAAGTGCTATTTTATTTTATTATATATTTTATTGATTTTTTTTTACAGAGAGGAAGGGAGAGGGATAGAGAGTTAGAAACATCGATCAGCTGCCTCCTGCACACCCCCTACTGGGAGGTGCCTGCAACCAAAGTACATGCCCCCTTGACCGGAATCGAACCTGGGACCCTTGAGTCCGCAGGCCGACGCTCTATCCACTGAGCCAAACCGGTTAGGGCAAGTGCTATTTTAAATATATAAAATTTAAATACCATTTTATTAAGTAATTGCTAAAATAACATTTTAAATTCGACTTAAAGATGTATAAAAAATGTTTACACCTCTCTTCTTCCCACTGCCCTGAACTAACAAGAACACTCCTTCCATCAGGCCCGCTTGCGCGCAGGCAGCGCTTGAGGGCAGCCCGGCCGGCCAGCGAGGACCCCACACAGCCAAGATGGCGGCGCCCGTGCGGGGTTCCCGCAGCCTGCTCGGGCTGGCGACAACACTGGGCCCAGGCTTCCGAACCTACCGGGCGCCCCCGCCCCCGCGCCGCTCGCCTGGGCCCTGGTGGCCGGACCCGGATGATCTCCTGACCCCGCCCTGGCAGCTGGGGCCGCGCCACGCGGCCAAGCAGTTCGCGCGGCACGGCGCAGCCTCCGGGGTGGACCCCGGTTCGCTGTGGCCGTCGCAGGAGCAGCTGCGCGAGCTGGAGGCTGAGGAGAGCGAGTGGCACCCGAGCCTGGCGGCCATGCAGGAGTCATTGCGGGTGCAGCAGCTGGCCGAGGAGCAGAAGCGTAAGGCCAGGTGCGTGCGTGCGGTCGAGGCTGCGGTCGCGCCCTTCGCGGCCCAATGCGTGAATTGTACCCCAACGGGCGGTTATCGTGGGGTTTGTGTTGCTGTAGATTTACGTGCTGCAAAGCAGACTTCTGAGTAACTGTTCAAGCGCCTACTGTGTGCAAGGCCTGTCCCAGGTGCGGGGACACAGCAGGGAACAAAACATTTCAGATGGCAACAGAGCCATTGGGAAGATAAAATTTGGTGAAGAGTGCAGTCGGAGGGCGGCTTTGGTTTGGGACTCACACCTGAGGTTTAAGCAGAGACCCGAATGACCGCAGAAGGAAATGTTCTGGGTGGAGGGAACAGCTAAGGCCCTGAGGTAGGAACGTGCTTTCGGGAACAGCCAGGCCCTCATTGGAAAGTGATGAGGTCTGGAATCAAGAGCAGAGGTCGGACTCGTAAGCAGGTCTAAAGGATTAGAATCAAGAGCAGAGGTCGGACTCGTAAGCAGGTCTAAAGGATTAGACTTAACCAAAGTATGGAGGCAAGACCAAGGGCATCAGGGTTGTGCCACTTCCTAGAGTGAGGAGCCAGCCAAAGCAGGCAAGGTGGGGGAGCAGGCCATTTGTGTCCTCAGTGTTTAATGTTCTTATTTGCACAACAGCTCTAAGAGGAAGGGGGACCACCCTCATTAGAAATGAGGAAACTGAGGCCTGGGAGGTGGAGTCACCAGTCCAGTCACCCAGGCAGTTAACAATGGAGATGGGATGGGCACCTCTCTCATAGCTATCTCTGCCCCACCCCAGCTAGATAACCGTCTTGAGGCTTTAGTTCTTCCTGCCTCACATTTCTAATCCTTAAAATGGGGCTATAACTGGCACTTACAAACTCAGGATTGGATAGAAAGATCCAATCCATTTCTTGTCTTTATGCTTTGCCTAGAACTGGGCCTGGCTTACAGTAGGTGGTCAGTGATGTCCCTGGGAATGGCCCGGCATGGTGTGAAACAGAGGGCTCACTAGACAGCTCGTGAAATGTTAACTTGGGGCCTGCTCCTGGGGGTTATTGGGGCTTGGCCCTCTCATGCTCTATATCTAGGTCATACATAAATTAGTTAATCTCTACTGCCTGTTCACTAGATAATGGTCAAGATAAATCGTCCCAGTTTTTCATCCCCATGGAGGAGTTGAGAAGCAACCTGTGGGCAGACTTGAGGGTGGGATGTGAGTAGATGTGTGCTGCTCTGGTTGGATGTCCCTTTCCTCACCTCTCACCCTCCTTCCCCTACAGGGAGCAGCTCATTGCAGAGAGCATGGCCAAGATGCCACAGATGATTGAGAACTGGCGGCGGCAGCAGCGGGAGCGCAGGGAGAAGGAGAAGGCAGACAAGGAGCGGCGAGCCAGGCTGCAGGCCGAAGCCCAGGAGCGCCTGGGCTACCACGTGGACCCAAGGAGTACCCGTTTCCAGGAGCTGCTGCAGGACCTGGAGAAGCAGCAGCGCAAGCGCCTCAAGGAGGAAAAACAAAGACAGAAGAAGGAGGCAAGAACTGCTGCAATGGCCGCCACTGCAGACCAGGACCCAGCAGACTCCATGGCACCCAGCTCCTGAGCTTTTCTTTCTCAATAAAACCTGCTGCCCAACAGCCTCACTCTT